AATTATAATTCTTCCCCGGGATTAATATGTGGAAATCTGAAGAGAAATCCTCTTTACTCTTGGGCTTGCCAAGCTGGGCAGATGTCAAGTTGGTGTTGCTGGCAGCCTTTTTCCTGCCACTTGGGAGAACGTGTGTCTTCAGTTAAAAAGAACAAAGCTGAATAGAGATGAGAGGAAGAGAGACAGAGAGCTGGTGCGCCAAGCTGGTTCCCAGAGCTCTTCATTTAGATTTGAGAATTACCCCAATATCTTTTCTACCACAGTGATACAATAAACTTATACTCGCTTCAGCTAGGTGTTTTTATAACTTGCAACCTCGAAAGTACACTAATACAGTTGTTGTGACTGTAGATAAGACATTATCTCTCCCAGGGAAGAGCACAGTCAGTAGATATGGTAAACAAACTCAGCCCCTAATAATAAGTTTTGAAAGTGAGCAACAGATAGGCCCATTTGGAAAAATATTTTGGAAATTAGCATTTTAATATCATTTGAAAATTCTTAATTCACTATAATCATTAATGTGGATATTTCTCAAAGTGCAGTTAAATATGCTGTAGTTTATGTGATAGTGTATTAACCTAAAATACAAGGGGATATGATCAGAAAGTGAAAAACAGGGCAAGAATGTAATAGTCCTTGATTGTGATTTCTTAGAAATTTGAAAAGGGAGGAAAGGAGTTGAGAGATATAAGGATAAATAACTGCCAAATTTCTGTATCCTCTAAAAATATTTTTGACTGAATATGGTGGCACATGCCTGTAACCCCAGGGATTGAGAAGGCTGAGGCAGGAGGATGGCAAGTTGGAGGACAGCCTCAGAAACCTTGAGAGATGCTGTCTCACAACAAAAAATAAAAAGGACTGAAGATGTAGCAGTGGTAAAGCAGACCTGGGTTCAATCCCCAGTGCCAACAATAACAACTACAACAAAAATATTTTTTTTTCTGTAAATCCAAATACTAGGTTGTTTGTAGTTGTCTACCATTCCACTATTTTTAAATAGGTAAAGATTGATAACAAATGGACAGAAAGTTCTGGGGCATAATGTGGTTACCTTAGTGTGTTTAACTGTATTCTATTTGGGTTAAGTGAATTAACTACAGTTAATTCTGTTGATGGTGCAAAAAAGGGCTACCTTGATATGAAAGCCTAACCTTACTATATCATTGTCAAATAAAAAATATAATTTTGAAGGAGTCCTAGGCAAAAGTTTTCTCTTGCAGAGATCTTTTAAAAATTACAGAATTTACATTAAAATATTAACATGGTGTCAGACAAAAAAATGAAATGCAGATAAAATGCCATGCTATTTTAATTTAATAAAGTATATATTCATAAGGACTTTTTTTTTACTATTTAATACAGTAACATTAAAATCTAGACTAGGGACATGAAAATATCTTATGACAGTTTTGTAAGAAAAGTGGTTTTATTAGGGCAAACAATAAGATTGTTAATGTCATGAATTAATATTTTATTTTAATTAATTGTGTGATTATTCTTTTAGTATTATGTGGATTCCATAGCACTTTTGTTTTACAACCTCATTCTTAAAAATTCCAGCGGCTGGTTTTCTTGCATTTCCCTTAATGGTAGTGATCTTAAACAGATCTTCAGTTTGAAATCTGCCAGTTGTTCTAATATAGATGTATAAATATATTTTCTCCAGTTGGCTCTTTATTACAAAGACAGCTTGTTTGTGGGCACCGTCAGGACATCTGCATTTTATTGGACTTAATTTTTAGTAATAAAGACCTCCCACATTACAGATTTTTTCCAGTCTGAATTTGCCTGTGTGGGAAGCAAAAGAACCTGTCAGTCAGGGAAAAAAAGTAAATCCATATGGTGCTGATGATCTGCTTTCCTGGCTGCAATGAAGAAAGAGTTGAGTATAGACAATGCCCCCAGCAGATCTGTTTGTTTTTTTGCTAAAAAGCTTACTGCTGTGGTCAAATATTGTTGTTTCTCTCCAAATCCATATGTTGAAGAGTAATCAACAATATGCCAGTATTAAGAGGTGGGGCATTTGGGAAGTGATTAGGTCATGAAGGCTCCACCCTTGTGTATAGGATGGTGCCATTTAAAGTGGCAAGAGGGAGCTTCTTAGTTCTTTTTGCCCTTGTGCTGTACAAGGATATGTAGCAGGAACCATATATGAGGAATGCACCCTTCACCAGACACTAAATTGGTTGGTACCTTGATCTGGACTTTCCAGCTTTCAGAAGCAATAAATTTGTTGTTTATAAACGACTCAGTCTAAGGTATTCTGTTTTAGCCCCCTAACAAAGTCACTTGCTATAATAGCAAAGGTTGGTATTAGCCCCAACCCACTACTGTTGAGCCAGCCTGGTTCCTTCATGTACCATGCATCAAGCCACGAATGCTACACCTGAATCATGAGGACACATTCTATTTTGCCTCAATCTTGTTTTGCTTCTTTTGCATGTTTGCCCAGTTCCTGGATCTTGCCACTGTCTTCCACTTTGGGGGTCACTTCTACTCCTTGGACTTGTTTGGTCTTGGTTTTCATAGTCCAATCTTCAGTGCTCTTTATTTGGCTTAAGTTTTCACTCAGCCTTTATGACATGGAGCATGTCAAAAAGTGGTCAAAACATTGTATCTTCAGCTTTATAAAGGTGACAAATAATTGCTAGTAGAACTTGAAGTGATGACAGATCTATATTTTCACAGTTATACATAATTCGTCACAGTGCACAGAATAGACAGGAACTAAAATTTTTTCTTTTGATTGACATCAAAACACTGGGAGCTCATTTCTCCTGGTCAACATCACCAACAGGATGAGGCAGAAATTGGGTATCACATACTCTTTACTATCAGGGTTACCTCCTTCAACACAACAACCCACTACCTTGTATTTCTATCCATCTATAGCTCTTTGTTAATTCTGAATTTCAGCCAGAGAGAAGATTCTTCTTTTTCTGCCCTCTGAAGTGTTGGGGGTTGAGCCCAGTGTCTCACATATGCTAGCCAAGTGCTCTTGCATTGAGTTACACCCCTAGCTCAAGATACTGCTTTTTAAGACACTTTTGTGTTTATTGGGTAAATGCAAATTTAGTTTAATAAGTATTTATTGCTGAGGGGATACAAATATTGATAAGACTTATTGTTAAAAATTTTATTATCCAACATAGTGGGTAGAATTGTCCTCCTTTAAGATATGTTTATATCCTAACCCCTGGTGTCTGTGTGTTGTGGTTTGGATATTAGGTGTCTCCGAAAAGCTCTTATGTGAGACAATGCAAGAAGTTTTGGAGGAGAAATGATTGGTTTGCAACCTTAACCTAATTAGTGAATTAGTCCCAGATGGGATTAACTGAGTGGTAACCGAAGGCAGGTTGGGTGTGGCTGGAAGAAGTAGTTCATTGGGGGCTTGGCTGTGGGGTATACATATTGTATCTGGAGAGTGGAGTTTATTCCTCTCTGCTTCCTGGTGGCCATGTGAGCTGCTTCCCTCTGCTACACCATTCTGCCATGTTGTTCTGTCTCACTTTGAGCTGGCCATCTATGAACTAAGACCTCTGAAACCATGAACCCTTAAATACATCTCTCCTCCTTTGAAATTGTTCTGGTTGGGTCTTTTAGTGTCAGGAGTGAAAAAGCTTGTGAATGCAGCCTTTCCTGAAAATAGGTTCTTTGTTTTAATCAATGTTAAGATGAAGTTACACTCTATTAGAGTCTCCCTTAATATAACCTCTGGTGCCTTTATAAGAAGGGGAAATTTGGGCACATAGACACATAGGGAGAATGCTATGTGATGATGGAGTCCAGAGACAGAGAAATGAGTTTATAAGTTAAGAAGTGCTGGCAATCCCAGAAACAATTAAGAATCAGAGAAGGATTCCTCCTTAGAACCTTGAGAGAAAGGATGGTCCTACTAATAGCTTGATTGCAGACTTCAGGCTTCTAGAACTGGGGGAATAAATACCTGTGGTTTTAAGCCATCCAGTTTGTGGTAATCTGTATGGCAATTTTGGAAAACTAATATACTAGTTAATAAAACAGAAATATGAAGAATAAACTGTAATAGAGGTTCAGAGATATGTGGATACAAAGGAAGGAGATAGCTTTCTCAATGTCATGGGCAGTAATTCTAATTCTTGGAACACCAGGTTTCCTTTGTACAAATTTAGTAACCTATCTGACTCTTTGATTTATTGTGTGTTTTAAAATGAGTCACTTCACCTCTCTGAACCTGTTTTTCATCAGTGAAAGGGGGCTTTGGCTCAACAGATGATTTCTGAAGTCTGCTCCACTTGTAATCTTATGTTTCTAAATCTGTAGCATGTATGATTTTTTGCCAATAGTGTATGTATAATTTAAGAAGTGGTTAGGCTACGGGGAGGATTCACTTATGGGATTTAGTGTTCCCTCCTTTTCCTGCCCACCTCACTCTTTAAGAGGTGAGAAGCCTGTGAAAGCACCTTACTCTCCAAGCTGAGACTCATCTTGGGTGTGCACCACACTTTCAGATTAGGAGCTGCTTAAACATCCTTCTTTCTGGCAAGCATATTTGAATAAAGAAATAATTAACAATAATTTCTGTCCATGGACCAATCAACTCAGCAGTTTAGTGGAACAGAGGGAATTCATTTGGTTTCTGGGCAGTCCCTGAACAGGCAGTTTAAACTCTCTAAGCTTGTTTCCTTATCCTTAACATGGCGATAACAATATCATCTTGATGGGTTGTTGAGAGGACGAAATAAATATAAATATACACTTTTTGAAGAGCCTGCTGTCTAGTGGGTGCTTATAAATGTTATTACTTGCTTAACAAAATCGTTGCTTAAAGAAAGGACACTGATGAGCCTCCGGGGTTCTCTGTCTGACACCCTAGCTAGCAGGCGAGTCTGACGCTGGGCGCGCTTTGCACCCACCCGGCAGAGGCTTGCAATGTGGGGCAGCCCGGCCCGCGCGCGCAGGCGAGAAGGGCACGGGGGCGGGGCGGGCGGAAGTGCTCGCGCGCCGCTGTCAGCTGCACCGGAAGTTCCTGGCCCGGCCTGGCGGTAACCTTGGGGGGCCTGGCTGCCGCGGCTGCAGTTGCTGGGTGGGCTTAACGAGTCTGCGCCTCAGCCAGGTTAGGCTCGTGAGCTGCCGGAGCCGCCGAGGTTGCACCGGAGTTCGCTGACGTACGCGGGGAGCAGGCACCCGCTCGCGGAGCTGCCCAGCCGACATGTCTCTAGTGGCGGAAGCTTTCGTCTCCCAGATCGCAGGTAGCACGCGTGGCCCGGGACCGAGGCGGGGGCGGCGCGGGGCAGGTGCGGGGAGTTACGTGGGATATCCGACTGGAAAAGCTCCAGCCTTGTGGAGTTGGATGCTGAACCTCGGTCCGGGAATGGAGGCATGCACCGAATACTAGTCTAACTTTACCGATGAGAAAACTGAGGAGGGCACTGGGGCCAAGGTCACTCCGCAGGGGCAGGAGTCCCGTCTGCTTTCCCAGGGCGGTGCTTTGTCCCGCTCCCCAGTCCTTTGGCAGCGGCTGGGGTGTGCGGAGGAGGCCGGGGGTTGCTGTTGAGTTGGGGGCGTGGCCACAGGCCTGGTTGCCCCAGGGCTTCAGTTTAAGAGTGGGGGCGGTCTCTTAGGTCGTGGGACCACAAATTTTAAGTGACTGTCAGTGAGTTGTCCTTGTTACCTCTTGTCATTGAGGTGCCCCCAGGTTCTTGCTTCCTCTTCCACCGACACAATACTACCGTTTATTAAGTCTTGAGGTTCATTGAAATATCTTTAAATCTACATGTACTTTAAAGCAATACCTTTGATTTGTTGGACCGAACTTGACTGCTGGCAATAAGTTTATAGTATTTGTTTTCTTACGGAGGATTTTTATTTATTGTGTTGAAAGAAATTAAATATTAAGAGAGAGACTAATAAGGAGACTAGACATATGTGTATCTAGGTGTAGGTTGATGGAGTAAACTTCAGTGTTTTCCATTTAAGAATAATAAATGAGACAGTCACCAGGATAAATAATACATTTGGAAGAAAAAAGTAATATTTTGGAAATGGAAAGTAAGAATGCGTTATACTTTGCCAAAATGTTTTTCACTGCATTTGTGTGAATATCTATTTCTTTTTTCCTTTTCCAGTTAAAATGAATACATTTTTTTTTTCCCTAGAAGAAGAGAGAAGTAGCCATGGTGAATTTCATGAAAGCAGGGATCAGACTTACTTTGATCTCCATTGTATCCCAAACCCCTGTTAAAATATCTATGGCATGAATCAATGATCAATCTTGAGATTTCAAGCCATAATTATTTTATTTTTGCGACTTAGGTTTAAAAATAAAAAATCTGGCTCATATAGTTAGATCAGTGACTTGGATTGCTATTACATTAAATCATTTCATAGTGTATGCTGATATTGATATACTGTGTGTATGTACCCAATATGTGACCACCCCCTGCTATTAAGGATCAAATCCAGGGGCACTCCACCACTGAGCTACATTCCCTTTTACTTGGAGACCTGGTTTCCCTCAGTTGCTCAGGCTGACCTTGAACTTGTAATCCTCCTGACTCAGCCTCCCAAGTAGCTGAGATTACAGGCATGTGACATCATTCCATCTGTGTGATTTTATTTTAAAGAGAAAATAATTAATGTTTTTGAATAAATTTTTAGTAAGTTTGAAATTCTGCCTCAATTAGTGAAGTTTAAGAATTGCTAGGAATTTTGCCCGCTATTTTAAGCTGTTTATAGGGATTTATTACTCTAGGAGGAAGCATTTAAAGATGGAGTTCAATAAATGATGTTGGAACAGCTCCTAAGTGATAGCACCACATGAATAAATTTCAGATGGATTAGAGATTTAAATGTAAAATAGCAACACAAATCAAATTGTAATAAAATAATTGGAAGAAAATAGTAGGAGAAAATACAGGAGATTATTTAGAAAATATAGGACAATGGAAGAGACCTAAGCAGGATACAGAATCCAGATTCCATAAGAGAAAAACTTGGCAGAGTTGGTTGTGGAAAAGTTTTAAGAGCTTTGCATAATGAAAGACATCATAAGTTTAAGACATAATCATACAAATTAAGAAAAAAGCAATTAATTGGAGGGAAAAAAAAAACAACAGAATTAAGGCAAGGGACCTGAACAGGCATTTCACAAAAGGGGAATTGCAAGTAGATAATGAATAGATTAACCATCATTAATAGATAATATTCTCACCTAGTTGGATGAACAGAAATGAGTATGATAATTTCTAATATTGACAAGAGCATGGAAAAAACAGTTACCCTGAAATTATTGGTGAGTCTAAATTATTACTGTTTAGGAACTTAATATAGCAGTATTTATTAAAATGTCATCCTCTTACCCAGAAATCCCCCTTATAGGGATTTATATAATGGAAAAATGAGGACCAGTACATAAAGAAATATATACTAGTACTATTTGTAGCACTCTTGGTAATAGCAAAAACTAGAAATGTCCTAAATATATATGAAATTACGGTACTGATCTAGCATTCACACTTCTGAGTTGTCTATCCAGAGGAATTGAAATTGGTATGATGAAGAGATATATTTACTCTCATGATCATTGCAAAGCCATTGCAATAGGCAAGATATGGAAGCAACCTGAGTGTCCATCATCAGATGACTGGATAAAGAAAATGTGAGTTGTTGAGACTGGGAATGTAGCTCAGTGGTACTGTGCTTGCCTATTAATGTGTGAGGCCCTGGGTTCAATCCCCAGTATCAAAATACATGATTTATATATACAATGGAATACTATACAGCCTTAATAAAGGAAGTGCTTCCATCATTTGTGATAACATGGATGGAACTGTAGGATGTTATGTTAAGTGAAATCAGATAAGCACAGAAAGATAATTACTGTATGATCTCACTTATATCTGAAATGTAAAAATGTTGTTCTTGTAGAAACAGTAGAAAAGAAGTGGGGAAGGGGTGGGGTATGGGATAGAGAAAGAAGAGATGTTGATCAAAGACTATATTTAGACTGGAAGGATAAGTTTTAGAGCTCTATTGTATTGCATGATGACCACAGTTAATGTGTATTTCAAAATTGCTAAAAGAATAGATTTTTTTAATGTTCTCATTGCACACAAAAAGTTCATGAGGTGATGGCTATATTAATTCATTTGATGTAATCTTTCTGCAATGTATACGTAGATCAAAACATCGTATTTGTCAGATACTAAAAATGAAGAGGTAGACCCTGTTAAATATATTGACTTCAAAGTATGAATCATATTAAGTAAAAGTTATACAGTGGTATATATCATTGTAAGTCTAATAAAGCGTACGTAGACATGTTTATTTTTATTTTATTTTTTGGGGTACCAGGGATTGAACTCGGGGCGTTTGGCCACTGAGCCACATCCCCAACTCTATTTTGTATTTTATTTAGAGACAGGGTCTCACTGAGTTGCTTAGCGCCTTGCTTTTTCTGAGGCTGGCTTTGAACTCAAGTTTCTTCTATCTCAGCCTCCTGAGCTGCTGGGATTACAGGCATATGCCACCATACTGGGTGACATGTTTATGTTTATATAAACAGAAAAACTTGCAGGAGAGTATTCAACTAATTTTCACTAGGAATTTCAAGGTAATAAAGATAGGGTGTTGATGGAGAGTGTAGAAACTTTGTTTCTGAATTATTTAAATTTCTTTAATAGCATATTTTACTTTTGTAAGTTAAATGATTCTAATTTTTTAAATCAAAAAGATTTTTTAATAAGTGAAAAAGGAAAGGCAAACTAAAATAATCATTCATCAAAAATCTTGGGTTTTACTTCTCAGTGACTTATAAATATGACTTAGATGCAACAACTATTTACAGTATTCTGTTTCTGGTAGTCATATGGTTTTCTTCAAGGAGTCAATCTCAAGAAGGGATATATATATATATACACACACACACATATATATATGTGTATATATATATATTTTATGTGTGTATATATATATATATATATATATATATATATATAAAAGACTATGTGTATATATAGTCTTATTGTAACTAAATGAGTCATTAGGAATTGGTTTTGTTTTGAGAGCACTAATATTTAGCGTATCTAACATTCACTTTATTATTCTTTGGATGGACATGAGATAACATGCTTTTGATATTTCTTTTGGAAACATTTAAAGGCATCCGCCATCTGTCTGTGATATTTTCTTAGTGTCTTCCTTGAGAGCCTTATTCTTAACAACATCATTTTGGAAGCTGTCATAACCTGTATCTGATATGTTCCCCCAAAGGTCCACGTATTAAAGGCTTGGTTGATCCTCAGAGTGTGTGTATTGAGAAGGGGTGGAAACTTTTAAGAGGTAGGACCAAGTGGGGGGTCTTCTGGTCATGCCCTCAAATGGAACTGTGAGATCTACTACTCTGTCTACTACTCATTAGTCTGACTTCCTTACTCTATCTTTAACTTATTGCTATTACTTTATTTCAAGCTTTTGTTATTTCTCACTTGGATTTCTGTATTAGTATCTGCATTGATTTCATTGCTTTAGGCCTGGCCTTCTTCTTAAAGAGTCTCTGTATTGCAAGCCTCGTGGGTATTTTTGTTTGCTTATTTTTTTTATTTCCATTTTCCTAAAATATTGGGTTGACTTCTCTTGTTTTAATACTTTCATTGATTTACCAGTGTCAGTAGAGTTAAGTGGCATATAAGATGCTCCATGACTAAGTCCAGGTCTCTCTCTCTAGCTTCATCTCTTGTCATTCCTTTCTCTGAATTCCAACCTTCTAAACTATTTGTAGTGTTAAACCTTAGCACATGTTGTTCTTTGTCCAAAATGTTCACTTTATTTAGACATTTCTTAAGATTCTGGACACCATTTGAATAAGTGACATTTTTTTCCCCCTGTATATAAGAAAGATTTGTAGTCCCCCCCCCACCCCCCACCCCCATATCAGTAATATAAGGAATAAAGTAAAAATTACCTGGAGTCATGTTGCCCAGATCGACTTTTTTTTTTCTCTTTTTTTTCCAGTTCTGGGGATTGAATTCAGGGCCTAGCATACACTAGGCAAATGGCAAATACCCTACCACTGAGCTATAGCCCTAACCTGTAGATTAAGACTTTAAAATCCCATTGTCTTTAAAACTTGGGTGAACAAAGCTGTATCATTCCTCAATTTAAAATATACTGATATAGATTATGTATAATGTGAATACTTTTTTTATAACCTATTTACCTATTTGTCATATTACATATTGGGATCTCTTTT